TTGCCCTTAGTTGCCGTTACAGAACTCTCATGATACTGCAAGGGTTCTATACTTGGTGGACACTTCAAGTCAGCTAGACTAAACCCCGAAACCTTTGCACAACGCTAAACCCCAACCCGGGCGAAACCATGGAACCCCAAACTAAACTGCGGCCTAAACTCTCCTCGCTACATGCGCACGGGACTGGACAACTAGCACGTACGTGGTCCGGTGGCACCGCAGACGTGAAGCCGTTTTCCTTCGGGGCCAACCCTATAACCCCCCGCCCCCCCTCCTTACACAGGTATGCTAGTTGATAGACAATGCCCGTAACCCCGGCCCTTGGGTGCTTCGGGGAGGGAATTTGTCCATCTGGAAAGGCCCTGATTTGGTCAAACACGACGAATGTCACGAGGAGTACATGTGTGTGAGGGGGGAGCACAGTCCTCTGGAGACAGTTGCCAGTGCAAACCCCTCAGCCCGAAACTAACCCTAAAGCCGAAACTCTAAACCATAAATCACCCCTACCTGTAACCGACAAGACCTACCTCTTTAGGGTTCCTTATTATGGTTTCTATATATAGTACCTTAAAAACGTAGATCTTTTTGGCCACAGCTATACCCTTACCCCGAAGTGCCAAAATTTAGTCAGAGAACGACAGCAGCCTTAGGGTTACTGTCCTATAAACCCAGAGACTCCAATACCCCTTAATTAAGGAATTAAACCATATTAGGGCTCCTACTATAATTTAAGGTATATTCCTTAATTAAGGGATATTGAGTCTCTGGGAACCCCAAGCCCTACAGCCTCCTAGGGTTGATGATAGAAATCCTGCATTACCCATAATAAGGAATATCCCATAATTCCCATAGTTTAGGGTCCTTAAGGTAATGCAGGATTTATATCATCAACAGTAGGGTTTAGGGTTAAGGGGACCCTTAACTCTTGGAGTGTTGGCGCTCTCCGGGAATCAGGCTCGGCGGTGGTCGCGCTGCTAACGCCCTTCCAACAGCTGGGCTAAAGAGGAAGCGTTTGGGTTAGGTTTCAGGGTTCAGGGTTTGAAGTTTAGGGTTTGAGGTTTATTATAGGTTTGAAAGGTTTGGAGAATTTACTGTAAGTGTTCTACAATCTACAATGGGGCTTAAGGCTTAGCGGTGACGAAGGTTCTAGAAGTAACTTCAGGGGCATCATAGGAGCTTGTGGTATGGTTATGCAAAATTGTTTCTTATTTACTATACTGAACTTCGAACCCTAGCAAAAATCTTAATTAGCTGTTTCTTACGGGTTAATATAACCAAAATTTAAAAAATATTTCTAAGTACCCCTAAGTTTAGGGTTGGGTTTGGGGTCTTCGGATCTAGGGCTTCGGGGTTGGGATTTGATGTAGGGGCCCTACGGGTCGGAATGGTGCTTGGCAGTAGAAGTCACCACCCTAAGATCCTAAAAAATCTCTGTATTAGGATTGTGGGTTTTGGCGACTGGGCTTTGTTTGTTGTTGGCTGCATTCTGGGGGCGGGGGGCGGTAGTTGGAGGTCTCGCAGTTCAGCAATCCTTCAAGAGCCCAATACCCCTTCCATAAGAAATCTGTCTATCTATCTGTATAGGGCACGACTGAGGTACCTCCACGGGTTTCACGCGGTGTTATGGGGCTTTGGGCTTTAGAGACTGTAGAGACCCTTTTACATTCAAACACTCGGACTTAAAACTCACAATTCGTAGTATTCATCAGCGGGCAGGAAGCCTTGTGCATGAAGGCACGACTGCCAGCATACCTTCCCGTGAAGCGCTTGAAGAAAGCCACGCGTGCCTTGCCGAGAGCAGGCACCCTCTCATAGGCGTTGTGAGTCCTGCTCCACGCCGCCCCGCTTTCAGCCTCCTTGGCCCAGTCGAACTGGATGATGCGGCGGCCTGACGCCATGGGCTTTGCAAGGCTCGGGAACTTGTGAAGGATCTCCATCAGGCGCGTAACATCATCCCCGTCATACACGGCAAAAACCAGAAATGTCTCAGCCTCAAGTGTGGCCGTTTCGGTGAGCAGGTCGGACCGGTTGCGATCGGTCGACATACTCTCATCTGTGGGCCATGCCTCAGGTGTTGTCGAAGGTCTCTACGAGATTTGATTGGATGTTAGTATACTGGCAAGTAGGACACGTACCCAAAAGTATTGTATAAACGGCTTATTATGCAGATACTATGAGTTTTATGATGTATGTATAACTGGAGGTGCATTCCTTCATAAACGCACGTCTTTTGTTGGGGGGGTTCTTATGTGAAGTGTTGGAGTTCTTATGAATTCTGATAGGTCTCGCGGCATATACTACGGATTTTCGGTGGGTGCCAGTGCTAAACTTTTAAACTTTTTGTATTTTAATGGGTGGTCGTCTGGTGGAAGATTTTCTGGTGGGTTTCGGGTTCGAAACAGAATCGGGTTTTGTTTGAAGGTTTAGGGCTTTGGGCTCTGGGCATTTCACGCTTTAGCTTTGGGTTTACAGGCTGCTTAGGGCGTTGTTCAAGCTTCAGTAGTAACAGGGCTCTCAGGCTTTTGTGGTTGATTTTATTTTGTGCTGCACTCTCTTCCTTTCGCAGTCAGCATATGGTTTACGGTTTTGTGGGTTTTTCGCGGGGTTTAGTTTAGGAATTCGAACTTTGCTGCTTCTACTTGGAGGGGCAGGGGACTTAGTAAGTAGGTTATAAGTAGAGTTGTAAGTACCCTAAATGGAGTTACCCTAATTATAACGCTACTTATAACCTACTTACTAAGTCCCCTGCCCCTCCAAGTAGAGAAGATGCGCAGAGCAGAGAAGCTCACGCCTCCAGGGTGCTAAAGACCGGATCGCTTTTCACCCACCTCAGCTGGAAACTCAGGGTGTGATACGGTTGATGCCAGAAATCTTGCATTACCTTAAGGACCCTAAACTATGGGAATTATGGCATATTCCTACTTATGGGTAATCCAGGATTTATATCATCAACCGTATAGGTGGGCCATGCTGTTGGAATTGTGCTTTGGGGTAGGTCGTACTAGAAAAAGAAGTATAAGTGTACATACATGTCGTATGTGTGTGTATGTAGGGAACCTAAGGAATTCTCTTGCTAATTATGCTGGCTTCTACTTTAGGCGCTAGGGTTTAGGATTTGGCTTCGGGTTTAGGCTTATACGGTTGTCGCTGATGAGGATTTGGTGTAGGTCTCTGAGACTCTGGGATGCACGTTGAAATCTCCACCCTCCAAACATCCTGCGATACGCAATATGAAGAACCCTGAGGGTGAGTGTTGCTAAATATGCAGCCTCTGTGTAACATATTTCATACCCAGTGAACCTGACGACATACTCTCGTCGCCAAAAAGAACCTGTGAACCTAATGCAGGCCCAACCATTTTCTTACCGTTGGTTAGTAGGGAATGGAAGAACGGTAGCAATAGTAGTTGTAATTGTACCGTTTCTTCTCCAGAGGGCCCGAGTACCCAAATACTAAGGACTTCGGTCTCAAAATCTATACTCCATATGGGTGGTTGTCAAAAATAAGGTAGCTTTTAGGGGTCCCTATTATAATACGGCACCTAATATTTAGGGTGCCCGAAACGGACCTCAACTTTGACAACCACCCATATGGTTTCTGACCTTGAAACCTGACTATTTGGGGACTTGCACCCTTAGGTTTCTATTCTAGCCACTCGTTATATCCAAGGGTAAAGGGAGGGACCCTCAATAAGGACCCCTAGGTACATACCCTTAATTTAGGTATTATGTACCCATGATATAGCCCATTATAGGGTAGGGGTCCCCATTAAGGGTCCCTCCTTTTCCCCTTTGATTCTATGACTGATATAAGCTCGTGGGGCTCCCAATGATCAGAAATTTGGACTTGTCAGCCTGGGCAAATTTAATCTAGACCGGGGGTAATTTCTCATACTTGTAGCCGAAAATTCCCACCTTGTTGGGGTTCGTCATCTGGTGTCTTTAAACATTTCCTGCGAATGCAAGAGGCGCACTGTATCCTCATGAACATGTGCCACTTTCATCGACCATGAGCAAGATGGGAGTTGCGGAGATTAAGCCATTGTGACATAAAGCGTGAGTAGTATCATCCTCCACAGTTTAGAGGACTGAAGACTCCCTAGCTTCAAGAATCTGGCAGATAAACTCAACCCCAGACCTTAAACACCCCAAGCCCTAGGCCCTAAACCGTAAACGGATCCCAGGGGCCCATGGCCGTCGCTGCGATCTCGTGTGCGGAGCTGGCGGCCGTCTCGCCTTCAGTTTGAGGGATCTGCTTCTAAACCGTGGCCCTGCTTGATACATTGGGCTCTCTGGCTGTTTGAGTGCAAGACGGTAGTAACACTTATATTGATACTTGGCCGTTACAACAAAGACCCCAATGCCCCTTGAATAACCACTACGCATTGAAACTATAGGGGGATCCGCAAATGTATGTGAAGGTAAACTGTGTTTTTGAAGGGCATATGAGTTTTTCAGGGCTTGGCTTAGATTCGCGGTTTGAAGAAGACATCACCGATTTCGACGTAGAATGTAGCGCACATGCTGGCATCCGAGTCAAACGGCGAAGGGGAGCTCCCTCGCCATACACCCGCATGCCTCAACCCAAACTCTGGGCAAATGGGCGGGAGGGTGACAGGAACTCGGGTGTTAGGATTTTGAGGGTTGCTGTTGGAGACTGGGGATCTACGTGCGACTGAGATGTCAGAGGTTGCACATGCAACAGCAGCAAGCCGCAGAACCTGACACCAAGCTACTATATTCAAACGAACCACGAACCCTGCACATGATCTTCTTGCACCGCTTCCGTGTCAAGGCCGCCAGCGACGGAGAAGGTGAGGTGATGTATCCTGGTGCCGCACCGATGGATCCGGAGCTTTGCCGCAGTCGCTGTATCCTCGATCGCGAAGTTTCGCCGGTGTCGGTTTCATCACTTGGGGGTCGCTGTACGCCTACGCCGATCCTTGAAGTCCGGTGGCGAAATGCTGAAAGAGCTCCACTGATCGGTCCACGCTGCGCATGTCAGGTCCCCGGACCGTGAAGAGACTGCAGTTGAGCCAAGTACTCCTTAGTGGCGGAGTACCCTAGCCCAAAAAAGGTTACCCTTTCCAGTTATGCTAGGATTATATATACCCCCAAAAATTAGGTTAAAGGTTACCTACTCCCTAAACCCTAAACCGTTACTCAGCTCCTGAGACTCCGAGAAGGGATCCGGCAAACTCCCGACTGCCCCAAGGGGAATCTTTTGCATATCCGAGGTCGAGGTCCTCCTAGGAGGTGCTTTTAAAGCCTTTGAAAAATATTAAGGTAAAAGCCAGAAAGTTGGAATATGATTATCCTAACCCTTCTATGGTAAATTATAGGGTATCCTACCATGAAACCATATTCCAACTTTCTGGAGTTTCCTATAGTAGGTAAGATCTTCTTAAGCCCAATAAGAGAAAATATAAAATGTCCCAAAGCCCCACCTAGCGTCTGCAAGCATGACAGGGCGTGATCGGCCAAGGACACGAAGAGCTGCAACAGAGCCCTCTCCTCCTGCTTGGAAGGGCAGGGGACTTAGTAAGTAGGCTATAAGTAGAGTTATAAGTACCCTAAATGGAGTTACCCCCAATTAGAACCCTACTTATAACCTTCTTACTAAGTCCCCTGCCCTTCCAAGTGAGGCTTTGTTTCAGGACACTTTAGAGACTGCCTCGGACGGTTCTGCAACGGATCTAATATATCGAGGGTTCTAAAGAGGAGCTCTATACTTTATATACGATAATTTTGGTTCTGAAGAGGACTAAAGCGGAGTTCTAATAATGTATATATAATATAATGAGGGTTCTAAAGAGGACTTCTTAATGCTGGTCCTACAAGGATTCAAGCAGAGGTCCGGAGGCATGCAGGCATCCCCGCAGCGGGCTGCATGTGGTGGCCAAAACCAGTTATACGAGGATTCAGGGCAAACCGTTTACGGTACCAAAGGCACAAGTGCTAGCTTTGTGGAAGAGGGCACCGAAGCTTCCGTGCGCTTTTGCGTCCTCTCATGAAAACTACTATATACATAGACCGGCATGGGAATCATCATTCATGAAGGGCTGATAATCCCGTGCCAGAAATCAGTCCTCTCCCCCTGCGGAAGACCCTTGCTCAACTTAGTCAGTCAAGCTGCCATAACCTGCTCTCGCAGGTCCTTATTCTACACCCTATACACCCTAATCTAGAACTCAGGGGGATTCCTTTAAGTAGCCCTGGACCCAAACCACTGATAGAACCACAGCCCAAGCCGGTATCGGAGCCCTCAATAAGGCCCCAAAAAAGCACACAAGCAAAAATTAGGATAGGGATATCCCATATAAACCACCTTATCATGAAGCCCATTAAGGTAGGGATATCCCTTTAAAATGCTTATGCTTATGTGCTTTTTGGGTCCCTGACTCAGAGGAGCCCCGAAGCGGCATCTCCTCCAGCACTTGGATGCAAGCCGGCACTGCCTAGGATACCCAGTAACCTAAGAATAAAAAGATTACTAGGGTTCCTTTAAAGGGGTCCTTTAAAAAGGGTACTATAAGGGATCTATAAGGGTACCAGAATATACTAGGATACCCAGTAACCTAAGAATAAAACGGCCTCTCTTTTTGGAATTGGGGAACTTTATAAGGAACCTAGGACTACAATAAGGGAATAAGGGTACTACTGGGCATCCTAGAATCCTAAACCTTTTGAAAAATATTAGTAAATAAGATCCTCTTAAGCCCAATAAGGGAAAATACAAAATCCTAGCCGTCCTAGCTGCCTGGGCCTCCCAGTCCCTCAAGTCTCGGTGGCGCATCTCTTCCAGCGAAGCCAGCCTCCCACGAGGGTTTAGGGTCGAGGGATTCCAGGTTTTAGGGTGCAGGGGTTAAGTTTTGCGTTTACGGAGGGCCCAATAGCAGTTTTGAAGCAATGTAGCTCAGCTTTCCCGCTCTTCTGACAGAGAGCTCGATACGATTCGACTAAGGAATATGCACGGCTTAACAGGTTCTGGTGATCTTGTTTGAGTAGTTTATTCGTTCAGGGCTTGACACTATGATTGATGGCGCTAGCCCCACAAGTTGAGGGTCTAGGGTTTGGAATCGAGGCGGAGGACTTTATGTTAGGTAGGATTTCGGGCTAAGTAGCCGTTTAGGGCTGAGAGGGCTCGGGACTGGGGGGGGGGGGGGGGCTAAAGCGGCATCTCTGAACAAACCTTGAACACAACACCTGTGCCAAGAACCCTGAACCCGAAGCCACAAACCCTAACCCACCTCTGATCCCCAGGCCCCTGTAGAACCCAACGCCAACAGGCCTTCGAGCCAAACCCCACGCCCATCTTCGGTTTAGGGTTTAGGGCCAAGCTTTGGGTTTATGTTAATATAGGGGCCTCAATACTTAGAATCGGGGTTTTGGGCCTATTATACTATAGTTATAACAAGGAACCCCTACAATATTATAGGTAATTATTAAGACCCCTATGTTACACAGCCCATGCCTGCTGAGCCCATGTTCGCAAAGCTCTCGGAAGCTCCGGCAAGCACTTGTCTCCAGCCCGATGTCCACTGGATCCAGGAAGTCAGATGTGCCTTGTGAGTAACCGAGGAGCAAGAGTAACCTAGGGGGTTTAGGGGTCCTTTAAAGGGTACTATAAGGGCTCCTTTAAGGGATCTATAAGGGTTTAGGGTTTTGGGACCTAAGAGTAACCTAGGAATAAAAAGGGTGCCCTTTTTGGTTTAAAGGGGGTTATAAGGGAACCTAAACCCTAAAAAAAGGGAATAAGGGCCTACTCCGGGTCCTAGGCTTTGGGCTGAGGGTTTGGGGATTAGGGGTTTAGGAATCAGGATTTAGGGCCTAGGGTTTAGGGTTTGAGGTTAGGGTTTAGGGGTTTAGGGTTCAGGGTTTAGGGTTCGAGGTTAGGGGTTTAGGGTGTTGGGTCTAGGTGGGATCCAGGAATTCACATGTACCTTGTAGGGCGGCCTGAATAGCTTACTTGTCCAGTATCCTAGAGGAACTAAATGTTACTTTCTGGAACATAAGGCTACCGACTAAGATCACTAGAATAGGGTGAGGGAAGGGTATGAACTTATCATGTCTAGTTCAAGAAAGGTTAACAGAGGACACAAGTACCAATCTAAGCTGTACCTTGGTCGGCTATAGCACCGTAATTGAGGTTTTCGGCCCCATTCAATCTGACACACCTATACCGTATAGAATTTCGCGTTTGGGGTTGAGGGTTTAGGATTTAGAGTTTGGGGGTTTCTAGGGTACACCGAACACCTGCGTTTACGGGGAAAGTTTGGCCGCGGGGCCTTCTTGCGCCGCATTGCAGGCCGCTGCAGCGCGCAACATGGGAAGGACTCGTCGCCAGCCGCATGCATCTACCTCGACTGCAGAACGTCACGGACTGCGTGGTTTCGAGGTTTAGGGTTTGGCTTCCCTGCATGGTGGCTGAGGGCTTCAAGTCTACGGCATCATACATCCGGAATTCTAGGCTTGAGGTTTGGATTTCCCTAAGCCCTAAACCCCCAAACCTAGTGCCCTAAACGGCCTTATGTCCCAACACCCCAAACCCTCATACCGTAAACCCTAAGAAAAACCTCATAAACCCTGTGAGCCCCAAACCCTATAAGCCTCAAACCCTACAAGCCAAGCCCTGGGTTTTTTGTGCTTTCCACCTCCACGGCGATGGCTTTTCGACCCGGGGGCCCTCCGGCGAGCTGCCAGAACTTCCGATAAGCCTTGACATGCCATGCTTTAGGGTTCTAGATTAAGGCTTTAGGGGCTTAGGGTGGAGGGTCTATAATACTGTCTAGGCTTTAAAATTGGGTTTAAGGTTTAAGAGTTCAAGTACCTTTAGAGTAGATGTTTGGGCCGCAAAAGCATATACTGTGCTAGTACTTGGGCCCTTGGGGGCTTTACGGGCTCTGGAATTGGACTTTGGAAGTATAAGACTCTTGTTTCAATGGTTTCTCTAAGTAACAGGTCAGCGCCAATGTACTAAATACAAGTATGTCATTCCTGAACCGAGAGAAAAGCGTGCTGTAAAGGGTTTCTGGAAGAGTTTGTATAAGGGTTCTATGTACAATGTATAACAACGTTCCAGAAGACCTTTGGGGTTTGGGGCTGAAGAGTTTCCGGATAATTTGGTGTGTCGAAAACGCTACAACTACAAGTCCTATGCCGCCGTAAGATGCTGGCAAACCCTCCAACCCACAACTGGTCCCTAATAAAACCTGGTGAAGCCCTAGCTTGTGAAACCCTCATCTATACCCCCCTTGAACCATAATACAAAGCATGATTTTTACAAATCTCTTGGGTTTTATAAGAACAAAAATGAAAAATAATTCCTAAGGAGACTACAGTCATAAATTCCCACAAAACAAACCCCAAGAATACCAAAGCCTCCTTCTGCATCGCTGTGCTGCCGTCGCTGCAGCTGGGTGCAGTGATTTGGAGGGACGTCACTGCACACCCCTGCGAGGGGCTTATCTTTGGGTAGTGGGGAATGGAGGAATGGGGTACAATTAAAACTACTTTTATCATTACTACAACTCTTCCATTCCCTACTAACCAAAGGTAGGTTAGGGCTTCAGGCGTTGCAAATGGGTGCGCCAAAAGATAGAGGTATGCACACTGCGATCATTGCAATGCGACAGAGTGTACATATACTTTTTACCAGTACGGTCGATCCGTTGTTGGCTTTGCAGCTTCAATGCTTGACGACGTTTGAGTTTCGATACAACGACGAAGCCGGACAAGTCTAAACGTCCTAAACCCTTCGAAGGCTTTGGGTATAGGATACGGGTTAGGGTTCCGGGTTTAGGGTATTATGGGTTGTCAGGCATCCTGGCCTTCTGCAAGCAAAAGCCATAATCCACAAACAGCGTTGGGATGTTCTTATCGCCGTACGTCTGAAAGACTTCTCGACCGTCTGCGACAGGCTTGGTGATGCGCATGAGGACATAGCCATCCTCCTCAGAGCCTGAACGGACCCAAGCCAAACAAACGGCCCAAGCCCAAACCCAACCTCTGCGCGCTCAAGTCTAGGCGGTGTTGAAGCACGAAACTGTACTGCTATATCGGCTGCGCCAAGAGAACGGGACTCTAAGATCAAGACCCCTCACGCTTTATCCTCCTTGACAGAATCCCTCAAAGAGTTGGGCATCCTAGCAAGATTAACGTGAAGCACGAATCGAATGTAGGGTACCATCTGTGTCATGTCATCTTCCAGACAGGCTGCTGCCGGGCTGGAAAGCATAGCGGGCGGAGAGCTCTTCTCCTGGGCTCCCCAATATCACCGTTTTCCATAAGGGCACCCATTCGGTTTGGGGTTTAGGGTTCTCCTTCATGCAGTTTGAAACCGGAAAAGCCCCAAAGCAGAGAAGACTTTAAGTGAGAAGCACTAGAACTCTAAACCTTAAACCCTAAACCCCTAAACCTTAAACCCTTTATAACGGGTGATCCAGTCTCCCTGCCCATGATTCAAGAGGTCCGCCCATGGTACAAGGCAGCGTTGGGATGTTACGCCGTCCAAGGGGAGGCTGTACGCTCGACTGGCAACCTCGGCTTCTTTACGGTTTAGGGGCTATGAAGCGGTCGTTGGCCGACTTAAAGGTAAGACTGATACAGGGATCCTCGCTCCTTATATACACCTCAGGGACGAACAGCGAATCCCCTACATCAACATAATCACAACTTCCACAAAGTAACCAAGAAAGGAGACAACGCAGACTTCCATGCGTCGAACAGGCCCAAAAAGAAAAAAATAAGGTACTCCAGAACCAAGGAAACCATGCATCGGCACCACAAAAAATCCTCCCAGCATATCGGTATATGTTTCGCAGCATGGCTCCTGGGCTGATTTCTGAATACCTTCTTCTACGGTTTAGAGTTTAGGGTTTAGGGTTTAGGGTTTAGGTTTAGGGTTTAGGGTTTCTGATTTTTAGGGAAGATGTAAAGAAGCCCAAAGAGCTGTAGTCTATACTCCTACCAACCCTACTAGGAAACGGCCAAGCCCTCAGCCTCAGACTCCTAAACAATATATCAGAGTAGATCTCAGTATAGTATCGCAATTATACTACAGTATATTATTTCAGCATGCTACGATATGTTATAGTATAAGATAACCACAAAGTCCCAAAGCCAATCCAGACCAAGGCTCTGGAGAAGAGAAAATTCCAAGCCCAAGCCGTGGCGCTTGGCCTTGACCTGACCATGCGACAGTGGATTTAGGGCTTTTGTTTTTGCTTCGGGCCTGCGCTAAGTTCCGCAGCGTAACCTAAAGCCTATAGTTCTTACGTAACCCTATAAACGAAGCCCTGATTCCCCAATTTAGGATCCTTCTCATGACTTGTTTGCCTGTTTTCTGATTCTTGGCAGTTTGGACCCTGGGGACGCAGACGTCTCGAAATTCAGGAATATGCTCCTTGAGCTCAAAATAGCTTTTCGTGATGACCTGCGGACTAAATAGGGCCCAGTAGACCCCAGCACCTACATCTTTACAGAATCCCATGGAAACCCTGGCGGAAACTTCAGTGTCACACCGCCACAAAATCATAGGATCCTTAGGGGTGTAGGGGACTATATTTCCTTAAATAGGCCTTATTAGTCCAGATTATGGGCCTTAAGGCCCCTACCCCCCCTCCCCCTACACCCCTAAGGATCCCTATGACAAAAGGCACTTTGGTGATTCTCTCGGGCCAGGGACTCCAGGTTTGGCCGTTTACGGTTCTCAGAGACTCCAATATCCCTGAATTGAGGAATATTCCTTTAATCTTACTATGGGTCTTACTATAGTTTATGGCATATTCCTTAATTAGGGGATGTTGGAGTTTCTGGGTTCAAGTCTTACGGTGAAGTGCCAAGGTTTCACTTGCAAGCATTGGGAGCATGCAGGAATGTCTCTCGAACTGTGAACGGCTCCATAAACTACACACAGTATCAGAGGAACGACTGCCTTCATAGAGGGAGGCGGGGGGAGGGGGCCGGGGGGCGTCTACACAGTTTGAGTGAGTATGTATGTACGTACATACATACGTATGTAGTGTGTATGCGTATATGTATGTATGTATGCAGGAATAAAGGTTGATGCACAGATAGACGCAAAGGGTTGGTCCCAAAGGACCATCCTTATCGTGGCTTCGGGGGAGATAGATGGACAGATAGAGAGAAGCACGTTTAGTCACGCTTGCAAATGGCAACTCTCGGCTATACATAAAAACCTGGATGCTGAGGCCTAAAACCGCATAAGCCTATAAGTCTGACCTCCAAAGAAAACTAAGAACCCGGCCAACCCAAAACTTCGAGCTCTAAACCGGAGCCCTGCAAAAGCTGAGAATCCGGACCAATCGTTCGAGATGGCTCCCCCGAATGGCAGCATGAAGCCAGTGGTCCGTGGGCCAGCATGATGGCATCTGCCGCACCTGTGGTTGAAGCCAACAAGCTGGAACAGATTTTTCCTCATGCCTTTAAGGTTACTTGAAAGGGATCTTAGCACTAATCCTCCTAAACCCATGTTCCAACTTTCTGGGATTCGCTGTAATGCGTGCAAGAATATTTCTCTATGTACCTACCTACCTATCTTCGTATCTAACACCTTTCTGCCTGCTTGCCTGCCCGCCTAGCTAGCTAGCTAGCTCGCTCGCTATCCATGTATCTAACTTTGTCTTTTGTATCTATCTGTCTATCCTTCGTTTTGGCTAGCTATCTGCTCTGTCAACCTGTGCCCAAGAGTTTCTTTCGTTCTACCGATCAATCAATCAACCCTTCAATCCATGAATCTATCCATGTATCGCTCTGGCTAGCTATCTGACCTGTCTGAAATGGCTGCACCGACCCATCAACCTATCTAGCTCGCTGCCTATTCTTGCAACCTGCCTGTCTACCGACCGACCTGCCTGCCTGTCTAGCTGTCGATCGGTCATGCCCTTTAAACCCTAAACCCGAAACCCTCAACCGTAAACTATACTGAACTTAGAACCCTGGCAAAAATCATAATTTTTGCTGTTTCTTAGGGATTAGAATAACCAAAAATTAAAAATATTTTTAAGTACTCCGAAGTAAACCCTAAGCCTCTGATGCACCTCCGTCGGCAAGGCTTGGTAGTAGGGCGCGAAGAAGCTCCTTCGCTGCTGATGAAAGGGCTTAGGGTGTAGGGTTCAGGGATTTAGGGTAAATCCTACACCCCCAGCCTTCCCCTAAACCCTACTTGGAGGATCATGGGACTTCGTAAGTAAGGTTATAAGTACCTTAATTGGGCATATAAGTAGTTATAAGTATAGTTACCCTAATTATAACCCTAGTTACTAAGTCCCATGATCCTTTAAGTATATTCTAGTACCCTTATAGTATCCCTTATGGTATCCCTTACAGTAGCCCCTTTAAAGGAACCCTAGGAACCCTAGTTACTAAGTCCCATGATGCTTTAAGTATATTCTAGTACCCTTATAGTATCCCTTATGGTATCCCTTACAGTAGCCCCTTTAAAGGAACCCTAGGAACCCTAGTTACTAAGTCCCATGATGCTTTAAGTAAACTCCTAAACCTCAAGCAACTCTAGGGCTGATTGTTTTTCTGGGGGCGTTCTCTGATAAGGAGACCGACAATTACGGTGCTTCGCCCGAAGACTACTTCAGCCCTAGTGCTGTTTCGGGGTAAGGGGTTTTGGTTTAGGGGAAGATCATTCTTGACTCCAGATATGTGAATAGCTCTTGTATGACCCATCGGAAGCTGGGCTTGCTACTGACCCATCGACTTGTTCCTAAGTGTGGTCTCTTTGGTGCTGCAGCTTGTGCAATGGTCCCTATCGTGCACAACTCATGTTGTCGCGATTGCGGTGTATACATCTGTTGGTGGTGGGCACTAGGACCATCTGGTGATGGCGGTGGTGGTTGTGGTACAAACCATCCTGGTGGTGGTGATGGAATCAGCTGCGGGATGATATTGCGGATACTGCTGTTGCCCCTGCTGCTGCCTGCATTGTATGTGCTGGCAACAGTGAGGATGATCCTGGCGATGCTGACACTAAAGTGCTGGAGGTGAGAAAGATGGCGATATGGGTGGCGAAAGGAACCTAGTCTAAGTAGTCATCCTGTGCCACACAACACCAGAGCCGTGGTGCTGACGTAAATTCAGGGAATCATGGAGACACAGGCGACTTGTCATGCCGACAACCAAGGTGGTCAGTGCGATGGGACCACAGTGGTGAGCGTTGAGGATGCGGATGAGACTGATGATGGTCATGAAGCTACTGATCAACAGTACGGTCGCATCAACATGCTTATCGCTGCTGTCTATGCTGCTACTGCCCAAGTTAACACAAGTTTTTGTTGCTGTTGCTCATGCTGCTGGGGTTGATCTTGCTACAGAGATCCTGTTTACACGAAGCTTCAAACTCCAAACTTTTCGCCCGAAACGAGCAACGAACAGGAAAATTAACATCACACAAAACGAATGCTATGAACTTCGCAGGCACTCGCCACCGGCACCCGGCGCGGCCCGCGCAGATTCCGCCGCAGAGTCCCTCAGCAGCCTTGCTTTCGGGTGCAGGGGTTTGTGGTAGGCTGCATCATGGCACCAGAAAAAGTTAGTAACTTCCAAAAATTAACTTCTGGACCCTCTGACGAGAATCGTAAGAAAACCCAAAAGTAAAGGTCCTAAGATCTCCGAAGCCCTAAACCCTTAACCCTAAACCCGAAGGTCTTAGCTAAGTCCCAAGCAGGGTTTCACGCCTCATCAACCTCGCCCTCTTGTAGGCTGCGCTTAAGCTTTAGGAGGGCTGCTTTAAGGCTTCCTTTAAGGGCTCTACAAAGGATCTATAATAGGGTCCTTGGGGTCTTTTCGGATCTTTAGGCTCTTTAGGGTTTGAGGTTTAGGGGTTCAGCGCTTCGGGTTTCAGGCTAAGGGTCAAGGGAACATGAACCCCATACCCTGAAACCTAAACCCTAAATCAACCATAAACCCCGAAATACTCCCTCAACTCTACATAAACATAAAACCCTAAATGAACACATCCCTAAAGCATTACATTACGCCCATACCCCAAATACGACCCCCACCCCCCCCCCCCGCCCCACCCACACATCAACCCCACACCCTTCACCAATGAATCCTGGACCGGAACAGCAAGGCAAGAAACAAGGCCGTCAGGAGGAGCAGACCAGCCGCAGATGGCATCAACTCCTGAGTGATTCCAGAGAGGGTGTTTAGGACTTTTGGGCTTAGTGAGTGGGACTTGCGGGTTTGTGGGTATAGGGGTTGAGGGCTTACTTACTTGTCCAGTATCCTAGGGGAACCAAAGGTTAGCCTTTTGGGTAGTTATATCGGGGAAATAGCACCCGTAAAAGGTTCCAGGTTACCTACTCTACTACTAAGCTCCGGCGAGCCCAGTAACAGCCCAAACTAGGGAAGACGTCGGGGTCCTTGAAGAGTTCGTTTCAGCGCTTTAATAGAGGGCTATCGGAGTTCAGACAGTTTTGATACATGGTCTTATCGGCCACTAATTCAAGCTTGTGTCTTAAACTGAACTACAACGGCTTCGCACGATAAAGCATGGTATGGGTCCTTTGCGGTGCTTTCGGGGTTTCGGGTGGGTTTGGGGGTTTCGGCGTTCGGGTTTGACTGCTAACTTGCAGGGTTGACACCAGCATTCCAAAGCACTCAACCTGCAATTTGGGCAGCGGGATTTAGGATGCTAGCTTTGAAAGCTAGGTCTTTTGGGACGTGGTTTAGAAAATTGTAAGTTTTAAGGACCTGGACCCTGAGAATTTTACAGGACTTCTTTGACCGGCTTCATGAACTTTTGCGCAAAGTGTTTTATGGTCTTTGGGTAGGGCTGTTGCAAAACTTTACCTGTGTTCTTGAGGAAACTATGGGGTTAGCCTTCGGGTTTACTATAGTTACACAATGTTGGTTGGAGTTACAGCCCCCGCGGTATATTTGGCCAAGAAAATGATTCCTTTGTGATGATAAGGTAAACTGAACCCTGAACAAGCAACCCTAACCCTAACCCCTAAACCCTAGTTCCTTAAACCCTAAACCCTAAAACTAAGTTCCTTAAGAAGAACCTAGGCTCTTCAGCGCTCTGCCGCAGCTCTTCTCCGAAAGGCAGCGAAGCCTGAGACCGAGTTTAGGGCCTTTCGAGTTTTCCCACGACTCATTCAGCGCAGGGTTTAGAGTTTCGCCCAGGGCGGGTTTAGAGCTTTGGGTTTCGAATCCCTACTGTTGGTGATATAAATCCTGCATGACCCATAATTAGGAATATACCATAATTCCCATAGTTTAGGGACCTTAAGGTAATGCAGGATTTATATCATCAACCGTAGGACCCTAAACCCTGGCTTAGGTGGGGTCGAAGGCTCTGATAGCATGCAGAGTATTAGGGGCTGACGCCCCAGGGTCTACCATATCGGGGCCCTTGATATATGGCCTCAAAAAAAGGGGGGGTACTATTATATACTAGTTATTCCCAGCCATGTTCTCGAATGCTTGCTAGGTCAGCGAAAAGGCTCCTCCAGTGCACTGTAGGTTGAAGTGTTCTGCGGATATCTTCTGGGTGGGTTCCGTGCTTCAGATCCGTTAAGCAGTCGGGGCCCGGGTTTGGAGTTTATATACTGGGTGTGGCAGGGCCATCTTCGGCTATGCGCGCAGCTCTGAAGAACAGATATGCAAGCACACACACTCCGAGCTCGATGCATCATACCCTGAAATCCTACACCCACGCCACTGGGCGATGCAAACCGCCAGACCCTAAACCCTTCCAGACCTCTTATGGAAACCCTGACTCTGGAACCCTGGGATGACAGAAAAACCCTAAAACCCCCTACTAGACCCAAGAGTCACCTGGGAATAAAAAGGGTGCCCTTTTCGGTTTAAAGGGGCTTATAAGGGAACTTGAACCCCCCAAAAAGGGAATAAGGGCCTACTCTAGGTCCTAGCCTGAGGTCCCCGAAGCCCCATAGGAACCCTAGGAAAACGGATAGGAGCCCTTAAAGGATCCCTTAAAGGAACCCAGAAAGGAACCCTTGAAGGAACCCATAAAGAAACCCTAGGAAAACGAATAGGAATCCCTCCTTAAAGGAACCCATAAAGGAACCCTTGAAGGAACCCAGAAACCCTTAAAGGAACCCTTGAAGGAAACCTGAAAGTCCAGGACAAGCCCCCAGAGCTACCGAAACCGCACACCGCTCACACCCTATACACCCTAAACTCTAAGCCTTAAAACCCCTAACTCCCCCAAACCCTAAACCTAGAAACCCAAGACCTAAAAGCCTGAAACCCTAAAACCTGAACCCTTGGCCATAAACCTCTGAAGACAAGGAATGGTTTCAAAGCCACCTCGGCCAGCTTCTCGGTGATCAGCAGCTTCTGAGGTATCCGACAGAAGTCGGTGTCGGGCCGCAAGGCCTGACTTTACCCATAGTCTCCATCGTAGTTCCTTTTTTGGGTTAGGATCCTATACCGGCATGGCAGCAGAGGAACCGCAGACCGTGGAGCTTTTGTAGGGCTTGCGGAATGCATATACGTGATGCTCGGTGCAAGATCTGGCTGACCCTAATGGTTCAATGAGGACGAACCCTATACAGCCTAGACTTCCAAACCCCCACAAACCCACAAGTTTAGGGTTCATGGTCAAACTTTCCCGTGAAGCCCCATATAGGCAAGGTGCCTCGCGTGCAAAGACACCACGGTAGCCATCCGCATCCAGCACCGAAGCAGCTTCGCAGATGCTCCCTCCATGCTCCCGGATCCAGCTTTCCAATGCCGCAACCCGGCAAGAGCCATCGGAGGAGGACATACATCCACTTGGGGTGTACCTCACTCCCCTCAAAAAATATTACGCTTTCAGGTTCCTTGTTGACCTTTCATCAAACCTATATCTCAAAAGTTAAGTAGGTTTGGGGGTGTTGAGGTGGGGTGTAGGGTCCCTGAATTCGGGAAACCCCATCTAGCATGTCGTGATCCCGTTTCCTGGATTCACATGAAATTGCGGTGAACACTCAGAACACGGCAAGATCCCTTGCGCAAGCAGGGTCCGATATGGAAGATCTGCGGTGCAGCGCCGAGCCGAACATGCAGCATAGGGCAGGGATGTAGGCTCGAAGGCAAACTGCGGTAGCTACGGGAGGACACCCCCAAACCCGGCACCCCAACTCCGAAATCCCAAGAATCCGAACATTCGAGCTGCACTCGAACAACCGGAAAACTGGACCCTGAAAACCACACCTGCGGCGTCAACAGGTCAAAGGTTTCGGCTCTACTCCCACGACAATGAGGTTGCAATTTGAAAAGAACATGTTGGGCTCATACTGAAGCAACACTTCAAACATATTCTATAGTTGAGAGCTTGGGGTTTAGGACTTGATTTATCGATTTACCCGAAGAAGGAAACGTTGACTCAGTCAGCCACTGTAAGCCTTGAAGTCTGTTGTCGCCGCCGTGCGTGACAACATAACCGGTAACTGTATTTACATAGCCTGGAACCTAGGATTCCTGAAACCTCTTGTTTCCTGTATCGTCATCGAACTTTATGGGGCCCTTGTAGAACCCATGTCGACACTCGGCCGACACGAAAAGCAAAGCGTAAGCCCTAGAACTTAAACCCTCAAACCTCAAACACGAAACCAAAGCCCTAAAAAACCCAAAGCCATGTAACTTAACTTCTATAAACCCTGAACCTAAATCCTACAGACCACAGCCCCTCACATAGAACCCTTGCCCAACCCTTATAGAAACCGCTACAAGGAACCCCAAACCCACCCTAAACTCTAAACTCAAAACACTACACCCTTAAAGAAACCCTAAACCCTAAACTCCAAACCCTAAACCCTAAAACCCCAAAACCCAAAAGCCCTAAAACCCTAAACCCTAAAACCCTAAATTCTACAAACCCCAAAACCACAAACCCTAAACACTACAACCCCAAAGTCCTTAACACTAAACCCTAAATGCCCAAGACCTATAAACGCTAAACCCTATAAAGGCACCTTATAGCATCTTTAAGGAATCCCCTTAATCGAACCCCACAAAGGAACCAAACCCACCAGCACCGTGCTGGGTGGCGGCACGGAGGCTCCCAGTTCTGGAGGTCGTCTGCCGCCGAATCCTGCATAATCGAGCTTTAGGGCTTTAGGGTTCCTTAACCCAAAGGGTCCGAGGTATTGTTATGGGGAATACTTCCCCAAGTCATAATAGCAATTCCTAACATACAAACCTTACATTCTACTATATAGGTACTTTGGACCCTTCGGGTATGGATGCTAAAGGTTGAAAAGGGTTTAAGCTTTTATGTGCCTTTCAAGTTTAGGGTTTAGGGTTCATGGTTCGTTTAAAGTGATCCTTTACGGGCTTCGACTAAGTGTCTATCTATCGCGATTAAGGTTCTATACGGGTTCAAGTTTTAGGGCTTAGGGATTCACGGTTTCGGAATAGGGGTTGAGAGTTCTAGAAGCGTTTAGGGTCTCGGGGTTAGGGTTTAAGGTCAGGGTTAAGGATTCTATTATTAAGGTTCCCTTAATCTGTAAGGGTTTAAATTTTGGTTTTAAAGGGTTCGCGGTGTAGAGTTTTAGGGATTTGTGTTTAGGCTTCTGGAAGCGTTTAGGGGTTGGGGTTTGAGTGCCAGGGTTTCGGGTTCAGTAAGGATTCTACAAGGTTCGGTTAAACGGCGTGTCTCCAGTACCGTATTAAGCCCTCTCGTCGGGCTGTATGTAAGCCCGTACGTACTCGAATACTCGTGTTGGATTTGAAGATACCGAGCCCAGATCAAACCCCAAACGCACAAAAGCCTAAACCCTGAAAGCCACAACCGAATAGAACCAGGATTGGTGGACTCCCTATCGGGCTAGGTATCACAGTAACGACAATCACAACTTTTCGGTGCTAGGGTCCGGGGATCCTTCAAGTATGGGCATGTAACCGAGGCGTCCAAGACCCCTTAATGACAAATTCGACCTCAAACCATGATTGACGAAAGCTCCTCTGAGGTTGAGGTAGAGTTGCCGTGTATTCAAACTGGATAGCGGGAGGTACGGCTATCAGGGTTCCCATACCCCCAAACCCTACATTTAGCCTTATTTAGCCCCAATACGCCTCAGCCTTAAGACGTAAACCCAAACCTAAACCCTAAAACCTGAGCACTACGAAACCCTAAACCAGTCTCGAACCCATTTCATTCCCGCCTGCTCCGCTTTAGCAGCAGGTCTTACCTCAGTCATAAGGACTCTTAGGGTGGCAGGGTGGGGTAGGAGGAGGGGGGTGGGCGGCCTTAATACCTACAATAAGGACTTCATAAGAGCATAGGCATAGTCCCCTACAGCCCCGGGTCCCTATGAATTAGTAGGGCTCCGCGGAACTTCTTTTTGATGCTGCGTCTTGTGATTTCATCGCCTAAGGCCAAGGGCCCGAAACGGACCCTGTTCGGCGATCAGAACCAAGAGTCGATTTCGTGTTGTAGGGCTTAGCGATATAGTTGGTTGTCAATATTAGGATCCCTTTTTTGGGTCCTTATTATAATACGGCACCTATTATTTAGGGTACCCCAAAAGGGACCATAATTTTGACATCTACCCATATGATACAGACCGGACGGATTGATGCAGAGTTCCAGGTGAATGCTGTGGTGGTGAAAGCCGGGAATACAGGAGTTGGTTCCGGTGAATTACAGCCTCCCGGCGCTCAATCTACGCGGAAAACGACTGCCTTGGAAAACACTGACAAGTCAAAATGACTTGGAGCCACTGAAAACATGCTTTCGACGCTGTACATTCTGAACCACACCGCGTAACCCTTCAAGCAACTCCTACACATGATGAGGCCGAAGCTGGCTCAGATCCTTCGTGTCAGTTACTCTAATAAAGGCAGCAAGAAACGTATCAAACACTAACAGTCGTTCATGGTAATTTACACTCAGCCCTTTGACAAGGACCCGGTAATGTACTTGGAAGGGCAGGGGACTTAGTAAGTAGGTTATAAGTAGAGTTATAAGTACCCTAAATGGAGATACCCCAATTATAACCCTACTTATAACCTACTTACTAAGTCCCCTGCCCTTCCAAGTACCACTCCACGCCACTCCGAAGTCTCGCAGATTTTTCTTTTTCCGGGTAGCTTTCTTGCAAGGGCGAATGACCTTGATTAGACCCTACTACTTGCTTAAGAAACACCCAAAAAATAAAAACAATAATCCCTATATTACCCCCATAAGGAATACATTTTTTATTCTTTGGGGGTTCTTAAGCAAATAGTAGGACCCCTAACCTGCAGATCCTGATGCACACATACCTACATTCGTACACGCATGCAGAATAGATTTTTCCATGCATACATACCTAGGGATCTACATACGCAACAAAAACCTGCAGACCTAAAGACGTAAGTGTTGATACATGTGTGCTTCTCTTTGATCTTTAACTCTCTGTCTCAATCTCCTGCTTTTCTCTGGGTGGCTTCCCGGGATCTTCCTGGTCTTTTGTTGGTCTCCCGGTGGTTGGTTTCCTGGTGGCCTCCTGGCGATCTCTGGCTGTGGCGTGCTCATGGTGCATTCTTGGTGGTCTCCTGGCAGTGGTGGTCGTGGTCTTGGTCCTCGTGGTCGTCATAGTGGTCTTAGTCGTCGTAGTGCTTTATCATTGTTTGGCGAGAAGCATTGGGAACCTTCGCGCTTGGAGGTGCGAAAGGAATGGGAAACCGAGTCCCTAAAGGCATGTGGCTAAAAAACTCACCCAGGAAGAAGTTTATTTGGATCGTTTTAGGGTGAATGGTAGCGATTCAGGGTTCACAGAACTTTCTTTATGTCCTTAGGCCTCAAACCCCCGAATCCAACACCCGAAACGATATTCTTGCCATCGCCATGGTGCGAGGAGGCCAGTCTTTGAAGCATTGGGATAGCGAGCATCTAAGGCCTCGACGACGCGTCATGACTTTACAGAATTGGCGGAACCCCCCAACAACGGAACTGCACTTCAGGTTAAGGTCTTAGGACTTTCTTTAGGGCTTGGGTTCAAGGACTTTGACCTAGGTTTCCCTCAACTGAGGAAGACCTGAAATTGCAGCTTCCCCAAGCATGCTGCAACCCTGGATTTGTTTGTCAGCGGCAGTAGTCCGCGTAGTCCGCCAAGGGTCACAGTTTAGAGTCCATTCGGGTTTGCGGCTCCTAAGGGAGGAGTCCCTAACTTTCGATGCCCGAAAGCCCAAGCCTTCAAACGTATGTCCCAAACCCTTAACTCCAAATTCTAAGCGGAATCAACATCAAAAGCAGTGCCATTATTTCGAGAGGGCTGGCCAGGCGTACCTTACATGGGTTTGGGCGTCAACCGCTTCGTGGTTCAGGGGTCTGAGGTTTGGGGATTCATGGGTTCAAGGGGGAAGGCTTTGAGAGGCTTGAAGTTCTGAGTTCAGACATTGCATTGGATGCAGGAGCCCAATACAACACCCGGACAGGTGTTTGAAGGTAACATCCCTACAAGGGGCTAGGTGTCTATAGCCATTTTTCTTACGCGCTTGTTGGGTCCAAGGAATGAGGGCGCAAATGTTTGTTTGGGCTTCGGTGCTCGAGTCTGATCGAGCCACGCCTACAACACAACAGCCTATAGACTGCATCGGTCGACAGTGAACAGCCCTTTCTGGAACATGAATTGAACCTAAACTCAAAAACCAGCAATCGACTCTCAACCATGAGCCAACCCCAATTTCAATAAAGACAAACACACAACAGCAGCCCTAACCCCGAAACCCTCAGCCCTACTCACCGATCAAGCCATGCTTGGCCCTTCCGCTAGCCTCGAGCAGGTTGCGGGTCAGGCTGCCAGGCACCTGGCAAGAAGCCGAAAGCCCCTAAGCCCTAAACCCCTAAACCCTAAACCCCTAAACGCCTAAACCCGAAACCCCTGAACCCTAAACGCCTAAACCCCAAACCCTAAACCCCCAAACCCCTAAGCCCTACGGTTGATGATATCCTGCATGACCCATGTGAGGGAATATGCAATAATTCCCATCGTCTAGGGTCAGTAAGGTAATGGAGGATTTATAGCCTCCACCCTAGGGGTTGTGTCAAGGGCTTGCTTCAAGGGCACTCTAGGGTTTAGGGTTCGGGGTTTAGGGTTTGGGGGTCAGGGTACTATAGCGTTTTATGGGTTCGCAGATAGTTAGTGGTAGTCTCTTAGTAGCCTCTAAATTTTTTTGTACCTTTCTACTGCAACATACCCCTCTAAAGCCTCGGAGTCAGAGAGTGGGAGTCAAGTGAGCCCGCGGGTTAGGGGTTTCACAGTTTCATGGGCGGGGGGGGAGATGTCATTGGGCGTTCATAACTCTGCTCCCCGAAGAATGAAGGAATACTTTTCTGAAAATCTCTGCAAAGGAGATTTAGCCCAACATATTAACAAACATGATCAGTGAAGTACCCGAGAACTGAGTAAATATCGGTGGAAAAGTAAAGGATTTGGGTTTCAAGGCCTGACTGAAGCCTAGAAAACCTAAATTTTGGGAGTGCGTTCACTATCACACTGATGTCATTATGGAGACCCGGAAGAAGGTTGCTGGTGGGGGAGGGGGGGAGCAAGGGTATGGCCTTGAACCGGGTAGCACTAAACCTAGGGCCTTACACCTTCAACCATAAACACCTTTAACCATGAACTCTCGGGCACGCAGGCTCTGAGCAGACACGTTGAAAAAACCCTCGGGATCGAACTCTCAGATCGCGATGCAAGGGCTCAGTTCCAGCATCTCTTCATGTGCCGGCGCAACAAACACCCAGGTAGTCGCAAAACTGGAACAGGTAAGCATCCAGATTCAAGGGGGCTTCATTTTTTAGGGTTTATGTTTAGTTTAGGGTTTAGGGTTCAGGGTTTACTCCACGCTGTCTTGCCCGTCGGGGATAATCTTCGTGAGCTTCGGGAAGTCTGGAATTTCTAGGAGTTGCTTCGAGTCTGCTCCTGCTGTTGTAGACTTCCTCAAGGAATGCCTGCATACTGTCTGGCGACTGCTTGATCTTTGTTCTACAGAGTTTAGGGTCTAGGGCCTAGGGCCTAGGGATTACGGTCGAATCTCACGTAGAGAGACCCACCACCAGAACCCAAACTTTAAGCTTTGAAGACCCGGTCAACCCCGACCTATAGTCTGCATTGTAGTTCTTTTTTTGGTTCACCAGTTTTATGGTTAGGATCCTACACTATACATTTGGGTAACCAAAAGGAGGAACTACAATGGAGACTATAGGGAATATTCAAATCCTTAACTTCCGCAGCCCGGAAGCTGAACAGAACCCCCAAACATCCCCAGACCCTGTTTTCCGAAGACTCCAATATGCCGTCACTAAGGAAGATAGCTTAGATTACCGTAGGATCCCTAATGTGATTGAAGGAATATTCCTTAAATTCCCTTATAGAACAGCTATAGATCCCTTGAAGGAGCCCTTTACGGAACCCTTGGCCCTAAACATCCCAAACATCAGACTCCAACCAGCCTTAGAGTCGGCGAAGAGCAGCACCGATCCTGAGATCCATCTCGGAAGCTGTCTCAGGTGTAGGCTTTGGGGGTTTAGGGTTTAGGGCTTTCGGCGGGACAAAGCGCGCCCCCGAGAGTTCCCGGTTTGATTTAGGGTTTAGGGAAGGTCCCTATAGTGATGAACAGGGGGTATAGGCTCTAGGTGTTTCAGCTAACTAACGAGATCATGGGTGATGTTTCTTCCCTTGGACGGCCAGCAGCTCAGAGCAGGGTCCACGACTAAGGAACCCTGTTTAGGGTGTAGCTTCAAGCTGCTGCAGGACGTAACTATACTTGCTCCTTCTCCGTTGCACCGGAGGTTCCCTGGTGCAGGCAACCATATAATGTAGCGTTCAAGCTACATTGGGGTTGAAGTTGAGGCCTTTGTGTCATCCGGACTAGACCAGAATCATGAATCACGACCACAACAACGACCCCAAAACTCTCTTGCCCTAAACCTCCAAACGAAGAGCCCGAAAATCCGGCCACAGACCCCTCTATACCGAAGTCATGAACCCTAAGCAGGAAACCCTACAATCTGATCTGGCATTGTCAACATATCCATTGCCTTAGCAAGAAGCATTACCTACCCAACCACTATCGCTTAAATAATTCAACTTGCGGATATGCATCCTAAGCCCGTACTCTGTTAGCCCCGAGCCCTAAACCCTATGGTAACCCTATGCTAAACCCTATTCCCTTACCTTAAAGTAACCCCTGCTGAGCCTCGCAGCATCCAAGGACGAACACTGCACTAGACTGCCCCAATTGAACAAAAACACCAACCCTGAAATGTATGATCCCGTAAACAGGTCCGTAAACACGAGACATCTTTGAGCCCTGAGCCCTGGGCCCTAAGCCCAATTTCATTGATGCAGGGTCCTGAATAGTTGAAACATGGTGTGGGCCTACTATACGTTGGCTATCGGGGTTGGCAGAGAATGCTGTTATGACTAAGTAGTCAGACCTCTCTGCCCAATGTCTCAGCCCTAAGATCGTATCCCGAAAAGGAACCCACCCCTACCTCAACTATAAAAGAATAAACACCTAACCCTGAACTCCCTAAGCCCTAAACCCTAAACCCCCCAGCTACTATAACCCAAATACCCTCTATTGAGGACTATAAGGGCTCTATTAAATGGCCCTTGAAGGGCCCTGACAAACGCTAAACCCTAAACGCCAAGCCCCAAACCCTAACCAAACCCCAAAAGTTTAAACCCCAAACCCTAAAGCCTACAAACCCCTAAATCCTAAACGCTGAACCCTAAACCCCCTAACTCTAAACTCCCTAAACCCTAGAACCCCGACATCAAGCTTTGTGCCGGGGGGCCGTGTGCGCCGTCGGGAACTCCCGGGATCTAGGACGACAGGGGCGGCTGTTTCCTTTACTTTCAAATTTCCTGTACGGGTTCCTCTGTACGACTAGGGTTCCTTTAAAGAGGTCTATAAGGGTTACTATAAGGGATCTATACGGGTACTATATTATAGGACTTGAGGGTTCCTGTACTCCCATTCTAGGACTTTGGGGCTATTTCAGGTATCAAAAGCCATAGATAAGGACTACTTGGACCCTTCGGGTTAGGGTTTCTGTATGGGTTCCTCCGTACACCCATCAGCCCATGAACTCTCTAACACTAAACCCTAAACCCATAACGCATAAACACGAAATAATGACTCTAAACGCACAATCCCATAAACACCATATATAACCCCAAATCTATCAACCCATAAACCCATGACACTGTGACCTCAAGGCTTGATGGGCAGGGCTCATGTCCTGGACTTGGGGGAGCTTTCCCATTACAGGTCTTTTGTTGACAGCGTATTTGTATGCGGCTTTATGGATTTAAGGCCTCTAGGGGTTTAGGATCCATAGGTTTAGGATTGAGGGCTCCGCGTTAGAGTCTGGGGAGACAAAACTGAGAGTTTGAAATCTCGGGTGTTCCGGCTTTACGGCTCTATGGGTTGCTTTTTTTTTTCAAATCGCTTAGGGTTCTGGGTTCAGGGTTTTGGGTTTGATGGTTTAGGGTTTCCCGGGCTCAAGGTTGAGGGCTTAGGCATGCTCAGGAGGTCCATGGCGAAGTCTGAATACCACCCCCCCTTAGAACCATAATAAACTTAATATGTTTGATAGTCTCTTGGGTTTTATATGAACAAAAACAAAAAATAGTTCCTAAGGAGACTATAGAATAGGGGCACAGATGAAGCAAAACTGGCTGGCCGACCAGCGCTGCAAGAGCTCTGCACGATTCCATTGAAGCGATGCGTTCCATTGCGATGTGGCCTCCCTAAACCCTAAGCCCTAAGCCCTAAACCCTAAGCCCTAAGCCCTAAACCCTAAACCCTAAACCCTGACCTTGAGCCGGTACATTCGGTGGGCTGCCTGGATCTTCCCGAGCTTCTGTCGATAGATGTTCTTGGCTTTCCTGGGGATCTAAGGACTCATATATTAAGGCTATTGTGCCCAAAGACCATACTATACAAGGCTTTCGGGCTATTTCGATCCAAATACTTCGTAGATGCCGACATTGAGCTTCTCCACCATTTTCTGCTCGAAGTCCTTTTCAAATCGTCGAGTCAAGTTTCACCCGAGTCAAGTCGGTGTGCTTCTGCAAGAAAATACGACGAACTTCGCACATTCGTCAAGGCATACCGAAATTTGTTCTGCTCCTCTATCTTCTTCTCCAACACCGAGAAAGGTGTCTTGGCAGAAGGCGTGTGTGGCAGCTGTAGCCTGGGCAGGTGTGCCGCCTCCAGCGCGGTGAGCCATGTTTTCTGTCTGTTTCCGACAGATACTCAGATTTTTGGTGATCACACATATGGATGCCGGAAGAAGGGATGGCCGCTGTCGCGTGCAAGTCGAAACGGTTTGTATGAATCTGGCATCGGCAAGTACAAGCCGGAGTTTCTGCCAAGAAGCTTCCACCAGCGAGGCTCCTGCGACTTCAGCACCTGCGCACAAGGCCAAACGGTTAAGACAATACGCCACAGGGTTCAGGGTTTACAATAGGGAGTGGGAAGGGGCAGTTCTCTAAAAACTAGGGTCCCCGTCTGAATCGCCTCAAAGTATGTCAAAGACAGCCTATACGGTGACTCGAACTAGCAACGCTCTTTCAAAACTCTTAAGGTAATATAGATGTCCAAACAAACATCAGCGGTACTCCTTTTATAGTCCCTGTACAGCCTGTACGTTTACACCAACATGTACCCCACAACCCCTAAACCCTAAAAACCCTTTTCATCCCTTTCCATCAAACCCTGGGCATCAAAATGGCCCAAAAGCCTTATATTATAGTATGGTCTTTGGGCCCAAAGGCCTTTATATATGAGTCCTTAGATTTCTAGGGAAATGCCCTGCCCTTAGTAAGTAGGTTATAAGTAGAGTTATAAGTACCCTAAATGGAGATACCCCAATTATAACCCTACTTATAACCTACTTACTAAGTCCCCTGCCCTTCCAAGTAGATTCCACCCCAAGCCCTAAACCGAACCTTGCTCCTCAGGGCGACACTGGGTTTTCCTTCGCCAAGCCGGCGCCGGCCTTTCCGGAAGCTTCACTCCAAACCCCAAGCCTAGGGTTTATAAAGGGTTTAGGTAAACCCTAACTGCTCCATTCGAGCTGTGTGGATGGCTGTCGACTTCACATCATCTAACTTGTCTGACTCTGTTTTAGTCCCAGAGTTCGTAGGTCTTGTGTTCATGCAGGTCCTTAATTCCTAGAATAGGGTGCTGGGCATGTTTCAGTATTTATTGAGACAACAATAATAAGTGTTGTATGATGGTTCGGGGGTTCGAGGATAAGTCTGGCACTGCCGGGTCAGGAGTTTGGGAATTACGATCTTGGGTTGAGGCTCAAGGATGAGGAGATTAGGAAGGACGTCAAGCATGGCACGTGACAGGTTGAGGGAGAATATTGTTTTCCTGTACTTTATACTACAAGTGCATGAGGAATTTCACAGAAAGACTACAAGCAATCTCTCATTTTTCTACCAGCTACCATAAGTACATGAGGCACAGAAATACACAGATAGTAATCATTCCGACCCTTACATTCAAAACCGTAAGCGTGCAAACCCACCGATCTTCAAAGCACCTCATTCTGCAAGCCAAGGGATAGATTCTCGAAGGGTAGAATAGGTCCCAAGATAATGGCAAGTATGTTTGTTGTCTTTTTGTCCTTCCTACGGGTGCTAGAACCTGCTAGAAAGTGTTGCAATTCATGGAATCCTAAATCCCAAGCCCTAAACCCTGAAGGATGCACAGAGAATTGGACTGCCTGGCTCAGCTCTTCCTTGTTCACGAAGAAAGGCTTCACATCACCTGAGCCGTACTTAGATTTTTCGAACCCATGATGACGGACTTATCCACAGCCTGCCCGACCATTATAGGGCACATGGAGTGAAACTCAAACGAACACAGATTTTTGTCTGGCAGCCCTTGGCCTTAGGCATCGCGCTTAAGTTTACGGCTTAGGGCTGCTCCGATCAAGGGATTCCAATGTCCGGAAACAAACATCCTATAGCCATTATTCCACCCTTCCAAGAGCCTTCAGAAATAGCTCAGCCATTGCTGTTGCGAGACTGCTATACCCCAAACCCTGCAGACCCGATACTACTACTGTTGATGGACAAAATCCTGCATGACCCTAAGGACTCTAAACTATGGGAACTATGGTATATTCCTTATAATGGGTACCAGTATGAATAGTAAGAGGGCCTGTGTCAGGGTCGGCCGGATGCACGAAGCTTCTGCGGTCCGTCCATGCCATGGCCACATACGTTTTTCGGGATTAGGGTTCTGGGCTTCAGGAGTCTATATATGGCTCAAATCAACAAGGCCTTATAATAGAATGAATGAGTGTGGGGGCATTGGGTGTAGCACCGCAGGCTGCCTGGAATTGCCGCTGCTGCGCAGTCCTTCGGCGCTGAATGCTGCAGAAACCCCCGGCAAAGCCGGGAAGACAAACCCACGGCATAAACGTAGAACCCAAACCTCGGACCCTGACACCACCCCCCGAACCCCTCAGGGAAGTCACAAGCCCTAATCCAGCGCCAAACCTCGAACCCAACACTTGAGACTGTTGCCCAGATACTTACTCCCCCAATAACCACAGAAATAAAAGGTTAAACTTTCAGATGAATACTAAACCATAAGAGCCCCAAGAGTCTAAGAGTTTGGTATTGGAGAACTAAGGATTGGGATGGACTGGGGCTGCAGCCTCCACTTCCCAGAAGCAGTCGCAAAGGGGCGGCTGCATCTTTCGTGTCCTGGAAGGGCTTACCCAGCGTGGCCTATACAGGCTTTTAGGGGTTTAGGGGCGGGGGTGTAGGGGTTTAAGGGTTTATTGGTTTAGGGGTTTGGCGTTTGGGGTAGGTACCTCGGAGACTTTCAAACGAGTTGGGGGTTAGAGTGTGTGGTTGATCGCTTAGGGCTTGCCAAACTCGGTTTACTTATTCTGGAGATTGCAGGTCTTTGTAATCATCGCCTTAAGTTCTCCATCATGTGCTTTGTCCTTTTAATTGGGTCCACCGAGGTTGCGATTTTGGCACAGGCAAGCCAAACACATCCGTCTGCGATCCGAGACCCTAACCAGTAGCCACTACCTACTTGGAAGGGCAGGGGACTTAGTAAGTAGGTTATAAGTAGAGTTCTAAGTACCCTAAATGGAGTTACCCCAATTATAACCCTACTTATAACCTACTTACTAAGTCCCCTGCCCTTCCAAGTAACGACCTGGTCGAAATGGTTCTGCTGGTGTAAGCCACAGAAATAAAAGGTTAAACTTTCCGATTCCTACTGAAAAAGTTTAATTCAAAGGGTTTGTATTGGGGATCTAAGGAAACTGCAGCTGATAAAGACAAAAGGAACCCGGGCGCTCTAGAAACCGCATAGGACGGGAATGCGCATTGCGGTGAAGACAGGGATGGGGATGGACATGGCGACGCGATGCAGGGGCCTTAATGATTAGAATAGGGTCTTGGGGCCCATTATACTATAATTATAATCATGAACCCCGCCCCAAAATTAGCATTGGTAATTCTTGAGTCCCCTTTATTTGCCGAAGAAGCTGGCAGTTCTCACTTTAGGAGGTTTTCAATCTTAGCCCCACCGTGCCTGCACGACGCCAACCAATGCAGCCAAACCTGCCAGCTCTTGGGGACACGGTTTAGGGTTTAGGGCTGGCTTCTGAACCCCTCCAAAAAGTTAAACTTCTGGCTTCGTTATTACAGTCCATTAGAAACCCAAAAAGTTAAAGTCATAATTAAGAGCAAAACAGAAGAACGCCAAGACTTGATGGATTCACCACTGGTTAGGGTCCAGCCTCAAGAGGGTTCGCACTTTTTGTGCCATCGGTTCAGGTTCAAGGAGTGGAGGAGTTTAGGCTCTAGCTTTCCGGCTCTGCCGAAAAAGAAACTGAGCGATTAGAATGGCCTTCACCGCCCGTTTTTAGCTACGGAGCAGATCGGAGTTTTGCTTGGACAAAACAACATCAACATTCCCTCAGGGCCCAATGACTAAGAACTCGGTTTTAGGATAGTAGTTATGTAGGTGAGGATTTCGGAAGGCATATGATTATTGGGTACTTGGACCGCTGGGGATTGGGAGAGAGCCCCTCAAACTTGTACTAAACCTGAGCCCGAACCGCTGAAGCCTAGATCTGGGTGCAGGGTGTAGGGTTCCGGGAGCCGGGTTCCGGAATCCTGAACCCGAAACCCTGCACCCTAAAGACGGCCACCCGAAATCTACCTGTTGTCTCAATTGTAGTTCCTGTTTTTGTTGAGCCAATGTCATATTTAGGATCCTATATCACCCAGAAAAGGAACTACGATGGAGATCATAGGTGATTAAACCCTAAACGCACGATAGTGCGCCGCCTCCCTTCAGCTTCTGAGAAAGCGCAGCTACATCGCCTGCCTCGGTCAGGTGTCTAGACTTAGGGTTTAGGGCTTAGGGCTCACGGTTTAGAGTTTAGGGTTCAGGGTTTCGGGTTTAGGGTTCAGGGCTTAGGGTTTAGTTGGGGGTTCGAGGGGTGCTGGTGGGCAATTCTTAAAATTAGCGGTCTAGTGCAAGCCACAGGTTCTGGGCCTATGGGACCTAAACACCTTAGACCCCAGGCCCTAAATAGCCTCAGACCCCAAAGCCCTAAACGCGACGCAGCCCTGGACCCTGAAACCCTGCTGCTGAATCTCCATGCAGCAGCAATACCAAAATCCTGAGCCGTGAAGCTGAAACCCAAAACCCGATGCCCTCCCAACACCTAAGATCCAGGCCCAGCGCGCAGGCACAGAAAGAACGCCAAAGGATGCCGGTCCTGTGACGGTCTGAGCTGAGGCTTGGACGACAAGGATGATAATATGACATGTACAAGGGACGACCTATAATGAACATATATATATATATATATATATATATATATATATAAAAATTAAACTATACTAGTTTCTACTATCTCATAGTATTATTATTACGAGCTACCACGGTCCATTCTTTCGACTTAGGGGTTTGTGTTTTTGGGTTTAGGGCTTAGGGTTTTGGGTTGAGGGCATTGTTTCGACAGCTACGTATGGGTTTGAGGAGGGGGAGGAAGGAGAGTCTTTCGAGCCTGCGGTCTGTCGAAGAAAGTCGATTACTAGACCCAAGAGTAACCTAGGAATAAAAAGGGTGCCCTTTTTGGTTTCAAGGGGCCTATAAGGGAATCTGAACCCCAAAAAAGGGAATAAGGGCCTACTCTAGGTCCTAGATTATGTATTGGCCTGACTGACTATTAGACTAGCGACTAGGGTTTGGCAGCATCTTGTCATATTCCATTATATAACTATATAGGGACAATATCAAGTATTTAAGCTTACATAAAGCTACTATCTTCGCGCAGCTGTCCTTCGATGACGGGAGCTAGTGAAAGCTGTCGTGCTACAACAGGGTCTGATGTGGACTTTCCATCTTCTGTTTGAGACTGTTTAACACCCGGTGTCAAACATATTACCTCAGGGCTGAATCTCCTATCCCATATTGCATTATGGTAGGATTATATAAACCCCAAATGGTTAAAGGTTACCTACTCAGCTACTAAGTTACCTGGTTGGAAAAAACGCCTGAATAACTAGACCAGGTTCTACTTGTAATCCTAAAGTGCTTGTGCTCCCAGATGCCAAGCTCCACACTCGCGGTTTAGATCTCGAACTTGCTTCTGCAAATATCGTAGCATACCCAGTAACGCATGAAAGTGATGTTGAAATCGAATCACTATCTGCGAACCCTAATGCCCTGCATTCCCTACTGCTCCTGAGCTTTGGCTCCAAGTTAACTCTAACACGTTTCGGGTTCGTGAGGGCTTTTAGTCCTATAAGTAGCGCTGGATGAAACTTGGATCCTGACTACACGGAGCACCAAGCAAGGATCCTTGAACACAGCCCTAAATGAGAATCCTGGCTAAAAACCGACACTCTTAGAAACCCCGTTTGGGAGTTTCCTTCCGACAATAAGACCCTCATATAGTACTCTGGATAGTAGGACCCTGATTATAAGGAGCCCAAACAAGGTACCCCTTCCGGAAACTCCAATTTATTACTACCCCAATAAGCCACAGAAATAAAGGTTAAACTTTCCGATTCCTACTAAACTGTAAGAACCCAAAAGATTAAAGGTTGAGTATTGGGGATCTAAACTTTGCAAGAGGGACCTGCGCCGGCTGCAGCCGTCTGCAACTCTGCGACAGCTGCCTCAAGATCCTCGGATGCGAGCGCAGGTTGCAAAATTCCCAGCTTCAGCTCCCAAAGCCTACTTGGAAGGGCAGGGGACTTAGTAAGTAGGTTATAAGTAGAGTTATAAGTACCCTAAATGGAGCTACCCAATTATAACCCTACTTATAACCTACTTACTAAGTCCCCTGCCCTTCCAAGTAGAGCCTAAACCCCTGAACCCTAAACCACAAACACTAAACCCGAAACCTTCAGTTCTAAACCCTAAACCCCAAAGCCTAAATCCCGGGAGTTCGAGCTCCAAGCCGTCTAAATCCTAAATCCCCAACACCCCGATATTTTATGCCCTACCCCACACCCTCCATCCTGCGATCCGGACTGCAAGTCCAACCCTTCTCTAAACCCCTTACCTAGACCCAAGAGTAACCTGAGAATAAAAAGGGTGCCCTTTTCGGTTTAAAGGGGCTTATAAGGGAACGTGAACCCTAAAAAAGGGAACAAGGGCCTACACTAGGTCCTAGTTATGGAACCAACAAAAACTAAGCCTCATAAGACGCAAAAACCTGAAAACACCTTACGCCTGCCTCTGGAAACGCTAATTAAGAAAGCCATAAACAAGTCTATGCAAACAGGATACACCTTCGTAAGACTCCTCTAAAACCCTCAATCATCCCTGTCAAGACTACGGGCCTAAACCCTAAACCCTAAAACCCTAAGCACTTAAACCCCAAAACCCTTAAGCCCTAAACCCAAACACGTCAAAAACCTAAACCCTTTTAAAGCCCAGTCCCGACTGAGGGCCTGGCACCCTGGGAGGAAGAAAGCACTTTCCAGGAGAGCGCTCGGCAGGCCACTGCTCTGGGCCTCTTGCATCTTAGGGTTTCGGGTGGAGAGGTTTAGGGCTTAAGGGTTTAAGGGTTTAGGATTACAGGGTTTAGGGTCTTGGGGTTTTAGGGTTTAGGGTTTCGGGTGGAGAGGTTTAGGGCTTAAGGGTTTATTTAAGGGTTTAGGATTACAGGGTTTAGGGTCTTGGGGTTTTAGGGTTTAGGGTTTCGGGTTGAGAGGTTTAGGGCTTAAGGGTTTATTTAAGGGTTTAGGATTACAGGGTTTAGGGTCTTGGGGTTTTAGGGTTTAGGGTTTCGGGTGGAGAGGTTTAGGGCTTAAGGGTTTATTTAACGGTTCAGATTACAGGGTTTAGGGTCTTGGGGTTTTAGGGTTTAGGGTTTCGGGTGGAGAGGTTTAGGGCTTAAGGGTTTATTTAAGGGTTTAGGATTACAGGGTTTAGGGTCTTGGGGTTTTAGGGTTTAGGGTTTCGGGTTGAGAGGTTTAGGGCTTAAGGGGTTATTTAAGGGTTTAGGATTACAGGGTTTAGGGTCTTGGGGTTTTAGGGTTTAGGGTTTCGGGTGGAGAGGTTTAGGGCTTAAGGGTTTATTTAAGGGTTTAGGATTACAGGGTTTAGGGTCTTGGGGTTTTAGGGTTTAGGGTTTCGGGTGGAGAGGTTTAGGGCTTAAGGGTTTATTTAAGGGGTTAGGATTACAGGGTTTAGGGTCTTGGGGTTTTAGGGTTTAGGGTTTCGGGTGGAGAGGTTTAGGGCTTAAGGGTTTATTTAAGGGTTTAGGATTACAGGGTTTAGGGTCTTGGGGTTTTAGGGTTTAGGGTTTCGGGTGGAGAGGTTTAGGGCTTAAGGGTTTATTTAAGGGTTTAGGATTACAGGGTTTAGGGTCTTGGGGGGGTTTAGGGTTTAGGGTTTTTAGGGGGAGATTACAGGGTTTAGGGTCTTGGGGTTTTTTTAGGGTTTCGGGTGGAGAGGTTTAGGGCTTAAGGGTTTATTTAAGGGTTTAGGATTACAGGGTTTAGGGTCTTGGGGTTTTAGGGTTTAGGGTTTCGGGTGGAGAGGTTTAGGGCTTAAGGGTTTATTTAAGGGTTTAGGATTACAGGGTTTAGGGTCTTGGGGTTTTAGGGTTTAGGGTTTCGGGTTGAGAGGTTTAGGGCTTAAGGGTTTATTTAAGGGTTTAGGATTACAGGGTTTAGGGTCTTGGGGTTTTAGGGTTTAGGGTTTCGGGTGAGAGGTTTAGGGCTTAAGGGTTTATTTAAGGGTTTAGGATTACAGGGTTTAGGGTCTTGGGGTTTTAGGGTTTAGGGTTTCGGGTGGAGAGGTTTAGGGCTTAAGGGTTTATTTAAGGGTTTAGGATTACAGGGTTTAGGGTCTTGGGGTTTTAGGGTTTAGGGTTTCGGGTTGAGAGGTTTAGGGCTTAAGGGTTTATTTAAGGGTTTAGGATTACAGGGTTTAGGGTCTTGGGGTTTTAGGGTTTAGGGTTTCGGGTTGAGAGGTTTAGGGCTTAAGGGTTTATTTAAGGGTTTAGGATTACAGGGTTTAGGGTCTTGGGGTTTTAGGGTTTAGGGTTTCGGGTTGAGAGGTTCAGGGCTTAAGGCTTTAAGGGTTCAGGGTTAAAGGGTGTAGGGTGTTGGGGTTTTAGGGTTTAGGGCTTCGGGTTGAGGGGGTTCAGGGTTGAGTGGTTTAGGGACACAGAGTCAACCAGGAACCCCCCAAGTGCCCTGTAATGGAGCCGTCATGATCCTTAATAGTGGGCATTTAGGGTAAAATACAGTAAACCCCTCATAAGGTTGGAATGGAAACCGGATGAAGGCCAAATAGTGCTGGAATTCCCTATACATTACTCTTAAGGATTGAGGCTATTGGGTTTCCAACTTTTGGGCTTCTACTGTGGAGGGCAGTTGGGCCTCGGAAGGATTCGAAGGCTTAGGGCTTAGGGCTGAAGGTTTAGGGCTTAGGGTTTAAGGTTTAGGTTTAGGGTCTGCGCCTCTTGCAGAGTCAAGGGCTCAGGCTTCAGGGTTTTGCAGTTTAGGGTCACGGAGCTTCGGGTTTAGGGTCTGGAGTTTAAGGGTTGGGTTTAAGGTTAAGGGGCTTAGGATTAGGGTTAGCTTGCTAGAGTTCGGGTTTGGATTTTTGGGGTGGGTTTGGGATTTAAGGTTTAGAGGTAAGGTGCCTAAGCCCGACAACCCAAAACTGAAACACTGTTTGATCCGAGAACCCAAACCCTAAACCCTGGAACCGTCAGCTCCCTTCTGCCAATTAAACCGTTTCGTTCGGGTTTAGGGTCTAGGGTAAACCTACACTCTGAAAGCAAATCCTGAAAACCTAAACCCGACAGGGGGGGGGCGCAGGCAGCAAGCCCGGACCCTGCGGAGAGAAGCCCCACGCCCCACCCCAGAAAGTTTCAGACCCACGTCCCACATCACGACAAGCGCCACGAAGCAGAGAGCACAGCAAGCATGCTCGTTCCCAGGTTCCCCAATGCAATCGTGACCCTGCGAGGGAAGGCCCCACCCCAGAAAGTTTCAGACCCACGTCCCACGTCACGACACCCGGTAAGCGCCACGAAGCAGAGAGCACAGCAGGCATGCTTCCCAGGTTCCGCAATGCATCTCCGGACGCCCGGGACAACCCGGGACCTGCAACCTTACAGGGGGGAGGCGTCCAGGAACCCGTGACCCTGCCGAGGGAAGCCCCACGCCCCACCCCAGAAAGTTTCAGACCCACGTCCCACTCACAACACCGGGTAAACGCCACGAGGCAGAGACTACAGCAGGCATGCTCGTTCCCAGGTTCCCCAATGCACCCCGGACCAGCCCGGGACAACCCAACAAACCTGCAACCTTAGGGGCCTGCCGAGGGAAGCCCCACTCCCCACCCCAGAAAGTTTCAGACCCACGTCCCACTCACCACACCCAACTCGCTCCCAGGTTCCCCAATGCGGGGGAGGCGTCCAGGAACTCGTGACCCTGTCGAGGGAAATCCCACGCCACCCCAGAAAGTTTCAGACCCACGTCCCACGTCACGACACCCGGTAAGCGCCACGAAGCAGAGACTACAGCAAGCATGCTCGTTCCCAGGTTCCCCAATGCATCCCCGGACCAGCCCGGGACAACCGGGACCTGCAACCTTAAGGGGGGGAGGCGTCCAGGAACCCGTGACCCTGCGAGGGAAGCCCCACCCCTCACGTCCCACGTCACGACACCCGGTAAGCCGGTAAGCGCCACGAAGCAGAGTACAGCAGGCATGCTCGTTCCCAGGTTCCGGAATGCATCCCCGCACCAGCCCGGGACAACCCGGGACCTGCAACCTTACAGGGGGGAGGCGTCCAGGAACCCGTGACCCTGCCGAGGGAAGCCCCACCCCCCACCCCAAAAAGTTTCAGACCCACGTCCCCCGTGTTGAGTCCCAGAGAGCTCAGCAACAAGAACAGAATCAACGTGTGCTCCCCGGACATCAACGACGCCCGGCTCTTGCTTCGATGCTGCAGGCAATGCATTGGAGAGGCAGAATGCGATAGACCATCATGTGCTCTGACATGGTTTGGTTGTGCCCCGGACATCAACGACGCCCGGCTCTTGCTTCGATGCTGCAGCAACACATGGAGCAGATGCGACCTGCATCGGCCCCGGCAGCACACATGCAATAAAGATCCCGTGGCAGGACAGGCTGCATCAAACCTAAGGAGCCCACGGTGGGCTCCAGCTTGGCAGGTTGTACCTGTTCGCACGGCCACGTTGCAGAGGATATGCGAAGACAGCTGTATGCAGGTTGAGCATGGCATGCACCGGCTACCTAGGCAGAGGAACTGTCTTGTTTTCCCGCATCTGCTTCGGCCTTCCCCCTGGCCGCTATAGCCATAGCCGCTTTCGGCAGAAGGTCATGAGTTATGCTGAAACCTGCTTGGTTTGATCAGACTGAATCAGACTTCGCACCCTTGATATCCTTGACAGCTTGGACTTCAGCTAGCCAAAGAAGCTTGAAAGGTCGCAGAGCAGTCCTGGGCGGCGTCAGTGGCTTGACTGGCTTGTCCTTTCGGACCTTTCGATACGTCTTCAAAGGCGACCAGGTTTGAATGCCAGGAGGAAGAGGACTCTCGCAAGTGCCAACATCAGGCGATGCCACATTCCGTTCGCTGGCCATGATGCGATCAACGGGGCTCCATGTAAAGACCTCTTTCGGGAAAGTCTGAGGGCTGCCGTCGTAGTTCGACATCAAGCACTGCGCCGGGCTCGGCTTTGCAATCGAAGGCTCCGCTATGCTCCACTGACAGCAGCTGCAGCATGCAAGGACGCTGGTTGGGTAAGAGGATGCAATCGAGATCAAGTGTCTCCAAATGCCGCTTGCCTGTTGACAATCAAGAAAGATGGGCCTCCGTGGGGACGGTCGAGACCACAGCTGATGGAGCCTCAGACAAGCGCAAAGCCAAGGGTATCCATCGTTGGCGAGCAGGCAACAGACCAAAGCGCACGGCATCCGGAGTCCCAGATCCTTGGCCATGGCCTGCCGGGTGTAGCTTTGGCGCCGTGCAGCAGCAGAACCCAAGACCCTGCCTGAAGCTGAGGATGCTGAGCAAGGAGCTGATGCATCACCATCTCCAGACAGAGCACCTGCCCACGAGTCAGCACGGACGTGTCAGTGGAAAACATGTGCAGGCATACCCAGACAAAGTTTGCACAAGCGAAAGCCACCCCTCCGGAACATCCGTGAAACTCGAGGTGAAACTCACTTGCTGATGTTCTGTGGCTGTGGGCTTTTCTGCGGTGCTGTGCTGTGTGGTGTCGTGTTGTGTTGTGCTGTGATGAGATTGGCTGGGATGTGCCATGCTGTGCTGCGTTGTGCCCCTACAAGCCTCTCAGACGAAGCTCCCGCTGTGCCCTCCGCTTGGCCATGTACCTCTTGAGGAACTTCCCGCGGCAAGCCCAGCAACGGCGCATACGATGAACTGCATGCTGCTCCAAGGTCGTCTCGAATCTGCGACGGAACCCGGCCGAGCGAAGCCTCAAGGTGATGCATTCGATATCCCAGCCATCAAACCGCCCATCCATGCTCGAGCACGTCCTGGCAGCCTCATTCAAGACATACTGCAACGTGTGCTCACCACGCCATTCCAGGCTCATCTCCAGGCACCCGTCCCGGACGACCTCCAACTCGCCCCGCAGCTGGCCACTGAACCTTGGCACCCTGATTTCCCGACGTTTCGGGCTCATGGGTACTCGGATGCTGGAAGCTCTGGCTGAACTCAGCGCCAAAAGTCAAAGTCTGCAAGCTCTGGTTGAAGTGGCTGCCAAAAGTCAAAGTCGGCTGGCTGCTGGGCAGTCGGATGCCCTCCAAGCTCTGGTCGAGCTCACGAAGAAGCCCTCTCTAGGTGCTCGAGCCACGATATCCGTCACTGAGACTTCTGAGCTGTGCAAGCAAGAGCCATGCAAAGAACCCAGGCAACACATGTGAGCACATGCGGGCACCTTCTCCAGCAGCAGGCTTAGCCCGTGATGCAGCGACCTGAAGAGGGGCCAAAGTCCCGGCACTGACCAAGTTCCCAGCATGCTCAGAGTCAGCTCGGGAAGCATCCTGAAAAGGGCACGGCAGTCAAAGGTTGAAGCCCAGGCTGGACCAACCACGCTAAGTGCCGAACACACCCATCGGACCCATTCGCACCAGCAGCCAAAGGCACCTGATGCTAGCAAGGACAAGGCAAGCAGGCAAGCACATCAGAGGCTCCACCAACCAACCAAGGTCCCAGCGGGGGCCTGGGGATTCCCCGACACAGGAGTCGATGATGCAGCATCCAGAGGCACCTCTTTGGCTGTCTCGTAAGTTGCTCGTGTTTCTAAGACAGGAGAATCAGCATAAGGCTCAGTTGAAAAATGTAAGTTTAAAGTTTAGCTCTTTGGGGATTACAGGTCAGTGGGCTTGGAGTTGTAAATTGTTCCAGGCATCCCAGTGGCGAAATTCGATGCCGCGGACTTCAACGACAGAAGTGGGTTTGGTGGTACAGACGCGTTCAGGCCCGCCTAGGATTTAGGGTTCACTGGTCTGGCATCCTAACTGACCAATGTCAAGACTCGGCGGCAGTATAGACTGCAGTTGCTGAAATGTCTGCCACCTGCCTGGCAACCTGCGGCGATCCCCAGGAATGCCAGGTAGTAGAAGGGGTGTCGGCGATGTGTGGCAAGACGGCGGAGGCGGATTGCGCTGCTGACTCTGCCACGTACAGGCAATACTCCTGCGTTGCAGATACACTGATACGCGGCAACTGCAAGTACTCCCACCAGAACGGCGAGGGCTTCGGGTTCAGGGCTTGAGGACTTAGGTCAACGGCTCAGGCCAGGGTTATTTAAGCTGCAGTTCCAGCGCAAAGGCCGCGGAACAGGATTCTTAACTTTACCTATAGTCATTTAGGGTTCGAGGGGTTTAGGGTGCAGTTTTTTGAAGTGTTTAAGTTTAGGGGAGCTCCTCTCATCTTCGAAAGTAGATCCCCCAATTTGCTGCCCCATACTACTGAGGGTACTTTATACAAACCCCCATTAAGGGATCTATATATTTTTTGGATTCTCACGGGGGTCTGGGTAGTTGAAAGCCCGGGCATGGTCTTAGGCCTTTGAACATCGGGTCATGGCCCTAATTACTCCTTCGTAGGGTACATATAGGTTCATGGTGAGGATCTGTTTATTTGAAAAGGAGGCACCCCAAACAAGGGGTAGGATATGACCCTATAGATAGGGCTGATTTAGTGGGTTTAGTGGGTCTCGAACCCGAAACCCTCAGACACTAGACCAAGAGGTTGGTATAGGAGGGATATCCCTACCTTACTGGGCTTCATTATACGGGGTTGTATATGGATATCCCTATCCTAATTTTTGATTATGTGCTTTTTGGGGCCCTTTGGTATATCGTCTAGACACCTTGATTTGCAGCGGCTGGCACACACTAGAAGCCAAGTTGCCTACGCAGGACGCCCTCTATACCTTCCGGATCTCCCCTAAATGCTCAACCCTTACAGCGGCCCTAAATGTAGTCGTAACTAGTACTGTAATTAGCAATAGTAGGCATATGAGTCGTCGCAGTGTCAATCAGCAGCAGGAGCCGGAACCCTACACTCTAAACTCTAAACGTCTTGTTCTCCAAACCCTAAATCAGAAACCCTAAATGCTAAGCCCTTAGTCATATACCCTAAACCCTGAATCATAAACCCTAAACCCTGAATCAGAAACCCTAAACCTTGCATGAAGCCTAATCCTAAGCCGTCAACACGAGGACCAGCCCCTTAGTGCAGGCCTTGCCGCCCGCCTGCCTGTCAAAGCAGCACTACTTGGAAGGGCAGGGGACTTAGTAAGTAGGTTATAAGTAGAGTTATAAGTACCCTAAATGGAGTTACCCTAATTATAACCCTACTTATAACCTACTTACTAAGCCCCCCGCCCCTCCAAGTAGAGCTTCGGGGGTCTGGAGTTTTTTCGGTGCTAACATAGGGGCCTCAACAATTGAATAGGAATGCGGGGCCCATTGTACTATATTTCATAATAAAGAACCCCTAAAATACTACTGGTAACTCTCTAGGCCCCTATGGTATGTTACTTTCGGGTTTAGGGCAAAGGTTTCGGGTCGCTCGAGGGGTTGGCAATATCGAGAAGAATCCAGCTTGATGAGTCTGGTCTGCATGTTGACTCGTTTACGGATACTGCGACTATACGCGATTATATGGTTGGCTGCAGCTACATGCCATGTCGCACAACGCCAGCTCGTCGATTGCTACGACGACCCTAGAGGTCGTTGATATGAACACCTCCAAGCTGCCAAACCCAATGCCCTGCGCCGAAAAGTCTCCACGTTGCACAGGGTGCAAAGAGGGTCCTGAGTAAGGTTTCTGGGTATAGTGATTTATGACCCTATAGGAACTTTGAGAGAAAGCTATTGCTGACTATTGAGGCTTCTATATCATAGCATAAAACCACACACTCCAATGCCAAAAAACAGAAAATTCTTCACACCGCTAGTAAATATTCAATTTCAGGAACATCCCAACACTAAGGGGACTTGGTTGGCACATATATATATATATATATATATATATTTGCATACCCTAAACTTGAATGGCTGTCTTGGCAGATTCTTCCCGGCCTCTGTTGGAAAGGCGCCGGGCACCCAACGAGAGCAACAGAGGCGCAGCAAGCGGTGCCTACGCGGGGGATGGGTGCACTGCAGGCGGGGTCCGTGCAGGGACTTTCTTGGCTGAATGTGCAGGGCCTTTGAACCCTAAACTCTCAAACCCCAGACCCTAAGCCCAAAACCCTTGGAGAAAGTGGGATTCGGTAACTCGGGGTCTACATCTACATGAACCATAGGACTGCCGTCAGATCGCGAGGATCACTGTGGTATATATATATATATATATACACCGTAATTATTAAAATAGGGTTCCGATGAAAGGATTTCTAGGGTTCCTTTAAAAGGCCTACTAGAAGGGCTCTATAACAGAGGGGCCGTAGCAATTAGCATAAGGGTTTCTGGTTTCGGGTATACTATACAATAAGGAACCC